ATTGATTGAGATCTCATTATTATCAATCCCTTCAGAACCTTGAGTTTTGGCGTCCCAAACCTCTTGAGATGGTTCGATAGGGTAAGTATCAGCTGAGGCTGTATCCGTGTTCTCTTGAATCCCGGTTTCAATCATTGCACCTTTCTTTGATTTCCGGGGATTCTTATCTTTGGAACCTGGTGCATTACAAGCTGGTATGTACGATTTGGTAACTTTGTTCGGGTCAGCAAAGGAATCTGGCAATTGATTAGCTAGCTTTTGTAAATGTATAATTCTTTGGACCTCTGAATCACATTCTAGAGTCCGAGGATCTTGCCATTGTGTGGATGTTTGATTCCATGAAAGTTCTTTTACCAGCTTGTCTGTCTCACCACCTAATCTAGGATATACCGATTCATCAAATCGACAATCTGCATATCTGGCTTTAAACAGATCTCCTGTAGTTGGCTCGAGATATTTTATGATGGTGGGAGAATCAAAACCAACATATATTCCCATCCTCCTTTGAGGTCCCATTTTAGTCCTCTGTGGTGGTGCAATGGGTACATAGACTGAACACCCAAATGTTTTAATATAGGAGACGTCTGGCTCATGACCCGTTAGCAATTGGGATGGTGAATATTTGTGCTCACTAGATGGTCGTATGCGTATTAGTTCAGCGGCATGTAAGACTGCGTGTCCCCAAGCTGAGACCGGGAGTTGTGACCTCATGAGTAATGGTCTAGCAACCCATTGAATTCGTTTAATGAAGGATTCAGCTAATCCATTTTGTGTATGGACATGTGGAACGGGATGTTCAACACTTACCCCCATGGACATACAATATTCATTAAACGCTTGAGAAGTGAATTCACCAGCATTATCAAGACGTATAGTCTTTAATGGGAAGTCTGGAAAATGGGCTCGTAATCTGATGATTTGGGCCAATAACCTAGCAAAAGCCTGGTTCCTAGAAGAGAGCAGACAGACATGCGACCAGCGGGTCGATGCGTCAATGAGGACCATGAAATATCTGAATGTCCCACAAGGTGGGTGAATTGGTCCACATATGTCTCCTTGGATTCTTTCCAGAAAGTTCAAGGTCTCTTTAGACACTTTGACTGGTGAAGGTCGGGTAATCAGTTTCCCTTGTGAGCAAGCTGTGCACTTGAGGTGCTGAGGGAAAATACCATTTGGTTTAAGGCTGTGCCCTTTAGAATTCTGGACTAATTTACACATCATGTTCGCACCGGGATGACCCAGGCGATCATGCCAAATAGTGTAATCTAAAAACCGTGCTTTGATAGCAGCATTAGCCTCAATCATACTGACTTTAGCATGGTAAATGCCAGTAGATACGGCGGGTATAGTTTCAAAAACTTGTTTATGTCCATTTATCATTTTAGTGATAATTAAAAACTCTTTGTTTCCTTCATCATGAGTTTCGATATGGAAACCATTCAATCTTATGTCTTTGAAACTCAATAGGTTTCTCTTAGAACTGGGTGAGTATAAGGCATCAGAGATGTCTAGATATGTGCCATTTGATAACAACACATTAGCTTGGCCATGGCCCTCTATTAGGCTCGAACTACCCGCTATAGTGCTAATGTTTGCGGTTTTGATTACTAAATTTATGAAGTAATTCTTGTCTTTTAGAATGGTGTGGCTCGATCCACTATCCACAATGATATCCATATTGTCTTGCATATCTTTATTAAACAAGAATTATAATTCAATAACATGCAAAAATGAGATGTAAATAAAACATTACTCCATAAATTAAAATGTAAAAGCAAAAGGTCTTAAAAATCCAAACTAAAGACAATAAATCCCAAAAAACAAAAGATAAAAGTTTAAGGAGTAATGAAAAACAAATTCAGATTTTTGAGATCAATCAAGGAGGTCGGAGAGCTCATAATCCATGCCATCAATCTTATCATCCTTTGAGTCATCTTCATTGACTTGATGAACCAGGTTAGCCTCATGATTATCTTTCCCATACTTCTGGTAGAGCTCAGCAAGATATTTAAGAGTACGGCAGATCTTGACCCAATGATTAGTCATTCCGCATCTTGAGCAAGGAGTTGGTCTAGATGAACTGCCTCTTTGGGTCGGTTTGTTGATACCACGACCCTTACCCTGACCAAAACTGAGGTTAGGTCGGTTATCTTGGTTCGGTCTACCGCGTCCTCTGCCGCGCAGTCCATGTCCATTTCCACGTCCACGTCCACGATCTGAGGATCTGTTACGTTGGACGAAGTTGGACTCTTTTCTGGTTCCTTCTGGCAATGGGGCTGATCCTGGAGGCCGCATGGCACTGTTTCTCAACAGAAGCTGATTGTTCTTCTCAGCAAGCAGTAAGCAAGATATCAAATCCTCATAGGTGCTATGATTCATGGCACGGTATTGTTGTTGGAGAACAACATTGGGAGTGCCAAAAGTAGAGAATGTTTTCTCTAGCATATCCTTATCAGTGACCTCCTCGCCACATAGTTTTATGAGTGCAACTATCCGAAAGAGTTCGGAATTGAATTCTTCGACGGATTTGAAATCTTCGAACCGTAGGTTCTTCCAGTCGAACTTGGCTTGGGGTAGTATGACCGTTTTCTGATGGTCATATCGCTTTTTCAGTGCCACCCAAAGTTCGAGTGGATCCTCAAGAGTGAGGTATTGTTGCTTGAGAGACTCAGCGAGGTGATGGCGGATAATAAATATCGCCGAGTACCGTTCTGTTTGAGTCGCGGTGTTGGGATCTTTGATGCATTCACCCAGATTTTTTGAGTTGAGGTAGATCTTGGTGTCAAGGGCCCATTTGAGGTAGTTATCTCCGGAGACAGTGAGTGCCTCATATTCGACCTTCTGAATGTTTGACATCTGAAACATATAATAATTTATGTTAAATAATCAATAGTATGAGACTATGATCATTGGAATAAGGGATTTAAGGTATTCTTGTGAAAACTTTCCATTTCAGGAAACTTGCTATTTTAGGAAACTTGCTATATAAGGGAACTCTAAAATCGAACCTTAGGGTTTATAACCTAGCCGGTTTACTAGTGTTTCCAAATTTAGCTCTAATAGATAAACATTGGTTTTTTTTTTTTTTTTTTTTTTTAAGGGTTTAGGGTTTAGGCAATCTAGAGATTGATTTTGGAAACTAATTTGAAATTAACCGATTAAGCTTAAACCGATCGAATTGATCGATTAAACAACAAAACCGGTTAAATTAGATTTAATTTTGGAAACCGGTTATTAGGGTTATTAATCGGTTAAGGGATTAAACTAAACGGATTTGCTAGGGTTTAATTTTTATTAGGAAAAACCGATCGGTTTAAACTTAAACCCTATCGATTTAGGATTAGAATTTATCGGTTTATAAACGGTTTTGGTGGATCGATTGGTTTAGAGTTTAAGGGGTCGATTGGTTTAGGATTTAGGAGCTTGCATGGACCGGTTTTAGGGTTTTCAAGGATCGGATCTAAGATAAATAACCGATCAGTTTAGGATTTAAACCGATCGATCTCGGTTTAACGATAGACAAACCAAAACGATTTTAGATCTAGGGTTTTGCAAAGATTTAGGTTTCGGTTGCAAGGAATTTTAGTGTTTGGTTTAGATGATGCTAGGACCGATCGGTATAGGTTTTATATGATAAAGCCGATTAGGAAAAATAAAACCAATTAGGGTTTTGACAAGAAGAAAGAGGATCGGTTTGGTTATGGTTTTAAAAACGAAAAAGACGATGAAGAAACCAAATCCATATTAGGGTTTTCAAAAAAAAAACCAAAACTTTGATTAGGATCTATAGTTTTAGATAATACCTTTTCGCCAAATGGATTTCTGACCGGCTTATGATCTGGGAGCTAAATACCACAGATATCTACTGGAAACTCCTGAGAATGATGGCCAGAAGGGAGGACGAACAGCTGCTACAATGGAGGAACCACCGCTTGGAAAGAATCACCCGCTAAGGTGGGACAGCGCCGATTGTTTTGAGTCTTGAGGGCGCGTCTAGTGTCGGATTGAGGAGCGGTTTTCACCACTAGATTCTTCTCTTCCAGGGCTTCAACATGATATGTAGATCGCCTTCTAACGCCTTGTATTTTGAGAGATATGATCGTTTGAAGTTGAGCTTCGTGCTGATAACGTATTAAGGAAAAAACTCTTATCTTATGGTTTCCATAAGCAGTATATATATACATTATATAACTAATGTATCAGAAACCCTAATGGGCCATGAGACATTAACCTGATGGTTAATGGGTCAGTTACTAGAAGTCTATTTATTTATAACATTTATATATATTATTATTTTATTGAATTATTCAAATCAGAACAATATTTTTATTATTTAATCCCTTTTAACAATTTTTTTTTTATCACTTTTAACAATTCGTAAATCGATGAAACAGTTATTTGGAATATACATATGAAAAAATTGTATAAGTTATGGTGTGCCAATTTATATATAACACGTATATATAAATTATTATTATTCTCCAATTGAATTGATATGTAATGTAATGTAGTATCCGTTATATAACTTTTTTATGCATAAATACTCCATTATAATAACCAAATAATTAATCAGTTCTTTTTAATGTTGTTTTATAAAATGTACAATAGTACATATGAAAATGTTGTTTTTTAAATATGTATTACCATAAGTGCTAGATTGATTGTAATTTTTTTTAGAAACTATTTTTGTCTAGATACAAGAGAAAATTTAAACAGAAATTTGTGAGAATGACACCTAGGCAAAACGGCGTCCATATTCTTTCTGTTTAGTGTATAGAAGATGATTAAGCTAAAAAAAAAACTTAACCAAGATTACTCTATATACTGAACCAGCTCAACTAACAACAAAACCAGTTTAACTAAACCAACATACCTCTAATATCCTCGATTATAATTTTTGTTTTTTTGTGTCTTAAGGTCAATTTGCATCATATTAAAAAAGCCTTGGGTTTTAATTCGGCGCCACATTTTTAGTTGGGGTTTTTAAGTGAAACGGAAGGTTTTTCTTGGGGGGTTTCTTTTGCATTTTTTCCCAAAGACTTAGCTGTCTTTACAAAAAGACATAAACTAATCAACAATCGTTCTAATGGCAACGCAGATGTTTAGCTTACAAGGAAAATAAAATACTTGGATGTTTCAGTCCTCGTAGTATACCTTCTTCACTACGCCCTCAAGAACACCATCTGCCCCAAAATTACCGTTGAAGTCGTCACTGCTCACAGGGCCAGGAAGCTGGAAAGAGATGGTGAAGTGGCCCGGTGGACATAAGTTCTGTGTTAGCATCTTGAAAACCTGATTGTGTTTGCAGACTGTCTTTTCCCCCGTCGTTGTTGCTCCCTTTATCAGAATTTTACCGTCTGGTTCTATTTCGCAGCTGAAATCCTCTGTATGTATTAAACATGTCAGATTCAGCAGGTAAAAGCACAAGATACAAAGGTTAAGAACTCATCTCATGAACGCATATGAGCCAAGTGCAGAGGTAATAATGTAGAACCGAGACAAAGATAAGGAAAGGATGGAGACTTACTTTCATCTCTTGAAACACCAGGCAGTGAAACACGAAAATAGTATGAGTCATCGGATTCAGCAATATCCACCAAACCTATCGTTGGTCCAATCTTCCCCATGGCTGCACTACCCGTGAGAGCAACTCCGGTTTTTGTTTGAGCGATAAAGTTATTAAACTCTGCACTTGATTCAGAAGGCAGAAATATCATTGCTGGACCTCCTACTTTCTCTGCGTTTTCATTCACTTTGTTACTCGACATAGATGTATGACCAGTTGATGGACCAATGTAAGGCAAACTGTTCAGCGGAGCCACTTCAAGAATGTGTGGGTTCCTCGTGTTTTCTGGAAAACTGTTGTTTGCTCTCACCCCATTTTGAGCACTTGAAGACCTGAAGCACAATAAAACCTTTTAATCATCATACACTCGGATTTGCTATAAAACAGAATCACTTGCGAAGCTACATATATACATCGATTTGAAACAGCAGCAACTTTTATTGAATAAACAAAACGCTGAATCTTGAAATAATTATAAGACTATTAAACCGAGAATTTTCAACCAGAAGTAACTAGAATCAATAAGAGAGCAAAATATTGAGCTATATAGGTTAATTAGAATTGAAAGCAATGGCAATGGTTTCAACCAGTAGACAAACTAAGTCTTTATCCATACAAGCAATGTAGGTACACACATGACTTGAAACTTGAAAGCATAAACGAAAAATCTTCCCTCATCTACTTTTCTAAATGCTAAATCTGAACGCTCTGACGAAATCCATCCGGAAAATTAAACCTTCTTATGCTTTAATGACCTCAAATTAGGGCAACGAAGAGCCAATCTTTCAGTATATGGTCTTCCCTGAAGTTTTGAAACAAGGGTTTTGCCAAGAAACGAAACATCAAACACGAAATTTTGTAAATATCGTAGTTTGTGCATAGACTTCTCTTTAAGTTTAGAATCAGAGCAAGCTTGTTGAAATTCCAGTTTTGGAGGCTGTTGGGCAAAAATTTATTTCATCAAAGCTTAAAGCTTTCAACCGACAAAATCAACTCAAGAAAGTGGAACTTTTTCCCAATGATACAGACTAATTTCAAAAATCAGTGCAAAAGAACAAAACCCCTTGCGAAATTCACAAACCTTCCGGTAATTACACACATGAGCGGAAACAAAATTGAGGCTTATTCTTAAGTAAATCACACAATCTACCTCATTGGGATCTATTCAAAAAAAAAAAAAAAAAAAAATCTACCTCATCGGAGATGTTGTTCGGGAGTCGCCGGCTGAAACTTGCCGAGGAGCTTATTTGATATTGTTTTCCTTTTTTCTTTTCTGCGAGATCGAAAGAATCCAAATGAAAAGAAGTATAAGCACTTCGTCATCAAATCGTATTGTCTTTCTCAATTGGGCCTAAATAGTAAAGAATAAGATTATAATTATAACTAGCTAAATACCCACGCGCGTGGATTTTGTTTTGATGTTTTTTTTTTTGATACAATATAAAAATTATATTACCAATTTTTAATTTTAGACAGAATAAAGATAAGAAGTGAAAACCCCAAAAATTAAAAAAGAAAACAAACTACAACAAATGGAAACAACAACCTAAGCGGCTTAACAAACAACCGGAAATAGAACTAATGAAAGAGTCGAGCGAGGAGCAAACTACAGGAAGGAGAAGCTTTGTCGTCTAAATTACCCGTTGATGTTGCCACGAGAATCAAGATCCAGGCCCGTCCTCAATAACCTAGGAAATACAATGCCTACAGCTTCACCACACAATTAAAAAGACCCACTTCAAGATTAAAAAACACGCTGCTTTTGGGACCTCCAGTGGGTAGAATGTGGACCTCAAGTTTTGTGAAGGGCTCGACCCAGTCTAACGTAGGAAAAGCCCCAGTCTCGCCGGTTCTTTGAGGCGCATCGCGTAAGTCCTGATCGGCCTGCAAGATATGTGTAACTTCGGATTATGATATCTCCCAGATCAAGGCTTCAAATCGTTTGATTCCTAAGTGTTGCGGAAACTAGACTCATTCATCGTGATTCTTGAAGAAGACACCGAAGAATGAATCGCAGTGAAAGTCCTTCGTCTGACACGATCAAAGTATAGTTGTCGTCGGCTCCAAAGCATTTGTCCAAGTTTCTGTACACTGGCGAGGGTTCCTCCATGATCCTAGCTCCAAGTTGCTCCCAAAAGTTTCCAAATGACCTGAGAACACTCCAAAAATGCAGGACACTCTAGGATCAAATGCAATTTCTAAACAAAGATAGAACCAAAGACAGACTCTAATAAATCTAGCTAAATGTATGCATGAGACTCAATATTTGGACAAAAATGCAATCCTAAACATGACAAAATATGAGTATATCAATAGGCTCAGAGATTAGGTCGTGAATCTAACCTCATGCAGTATAAACAACTTAAAAGAGATGAGATCCAGGATATGGCATAGAAACTTAGAAATCCTAATCGATCATAGACTCCTATTGATGACTTTTTAGAAACTTGAATCTCTAAGACAAATCTGCATGATGCAGGAAATGATAACAGACATGAAAGAATGCATAAGATGGAATAGAAAAGCTAATTAGATAAACAGGAGAAAAAACAATGGTTCAGGGGAAGAATTCCTATCTCCATCGCCTAACCCTAGTAAAACAAAGTTTGGTGGCTCAAAAACTCATTACAGGAACACACACACCTGATTAGGACTGCTAAGAAATATATTAATAGGTCATAAGGTCTTCCAGGTCTCATTTAAGGCTTCTCTGCAGAGAAATGATGAAATGGGCTTTGATGTCGGGCCTTGTGGCTCGGCATAGGTCCACCGCGGGTGAGAGTCCTGCGGGGCAGGTAAAACACTTCTTTATCGCGGGTGAGAGTCTTCCGAGACTGGTGAATTTGGTCAACTTGCTTTTCACATAACTTTTGGTTGCACCGTTGGATTATCCTGATGTAAATTGCTATGGAAAGCTTGTTGTCTCCACTTGAATGTCTCTAAATTTGAGTTGGATCAGATGGTGAGAAGGTATTAAGTTGAGGCTGAACTTCTGACAGTCTGACTCTGAGTTAAAAATGTGGATTTCTTCCATTTTGACATCGTTTTCCGTAAGCTTCTAAAAGAGCCTTGAAACTACAAACATAGAGAAATCATAATAGAAGTTCTTAAAACTGATTAAAACCTTTGAAAAAGCATTTGAAATCAATGGTGAAAATGGGTACAAATACGGTATTATCAACTCCTCCAGACTTAAACTTTGTTTGTCCTCAAACAAAACAAGATCCAATCTAGAAAAATATCATCAACAGAAATCATAGGGATCCGAAACTCAAAAATATCAGTAACCATATTTCTAGACCTTAATTATGGGCAATGCATCAATCAGATCAAGTCTAAAAAATTCTCACCATACTACGAACATAACTAATCCGTTAATCTGTCATGCAAAAATCCACACACTTAGGACTAACTTCCAGTCAACTAGCTCTTAACATACATTAAAGGTTTTAGTGATTATCATCAAAAAGATATTAAACAAGGCATTCAAGGCTAGGTATTCAGGGGCTTTTCAATGGTGAGGTTTGATGTGTTTAGGGTTACCTTTTCTGGAGAGACATGATATTATGCAAAGCAGCAAGAGAGGATGGAACTGTTGATATCCACAGTTTCCAGTCACATTCTTCTTGCTTAAAGATTTATGATCTCCTTTCTTCAGGCTCTCTTTATAACTCCCCCAGGCTTGGATTTTTGTCCAGGTGGTGAAACCATAATTCCATATATATATACCTATAGTCTTTGCTCCAATGATTTTGGCTTAGAAGACCTTTTAGGCTTTTGGTTTCCTTTCTTTTCTTTCTTTTTCTCTTTTTTCTTTTTTTTTGTTTTTTTTTTTGTTTTTTTTTCGAAATGAGAAACTACTTTTTGACTTAGAGTCTTAGGGAGCACAAAAATTACCTTTAAGAGTGAGCTTTCTGAGGCATCATGAGGCTTGATAAGATTGCATGGTACATTTTCTTCCCGGTTTCATTCACTCCTTTTCTTGAGTGACTGAAAACTATGTTGTTCCACCCTCTCCGGCGTTTTTTTATAACACCGTATTTTGACCACTTTTATGGATCGTTTTGAAATACTTTCTCTATGTTTTTAATTGCTTTTAAGTACTTTTATTACGTTTTTCTAGTATTTGTAGTTCCAAGACTCTTTTCAGGTAACTTAGGGAAAAGCTTAACAAAATGGATAGAAAACCAGATTTCAGCTAAAAGTCAAACCGTCAGAAGTTCACCCCCGATTGAAGGCCTTCTACGTCTGATCCAGCTCAAATTTGGAGACCTTAAAGATGTAAGTATCAGCTTTCCAGCACACTTTACAGCTTGGCAATCCAACGGTTCAATCAAAAGATACGCGAAAAGCAAGATGTCCCGTAAACCAGCCGGCAAGCGTTTCCACCCGCGGCCAACAGACCAATCCCTGCTGTCACAACCATCCCGACCGCGGCCAGCCACCCATTTCCCGCGGTCACACTCATCCCGACCGCGACCAGCTAACTCCGACCCCGAAGGCCCATTTCTGAAGCCCATATCATTTTCCCAGCCTTGATTCCGGAACCCTAGACCCTAGAGATGTTTTGAGCACTATAAATACATGTTTTAGGAACCCTAATTCGGAGGCCCTCATATGTTCTTATTGTTTTAGAATACTTTTTAAGTTTTGGGTTTTAGGGAGAGAGAGATTTGTCTCTTGAACCCTTGTTCTTTCTTTTTCAATTTCGGTTTCTATTCTACTTTTAAATACTATGTTTTTGATTTCGTTCATCATGTCTGAGTAGTTTTATTGTTGGGACTAAGGGATTTTCGATGGGGATCTATATGTTCGATGAGGATTCCATGAGCTTTTGAGCCGAATCTTAGAACTTTTTCTTCTGAATTCGTTTTTACTGCATGAGAGTAGCGTCATGAACTACAATCTGATCCAGATGCTTGGTGACACGAAAGTGTTCATCCGGTGTCAGATCTAGTTTGGGAGAGCAAAACAAACATAGGAGTGGAAACCTACCTATGGGCGATTTGTGAATGCTGACGAGTCTTAAACATAATGCATCTCTTCTTTTCCAGGGCCAGAGTGGAAACCTACTGGTCAGGGTTGAGAGAGATAGTTGTCTATGATCACGACAGTGGCGTATTCATACGTCCGTGACTCCAGTTCGAAAATTTTAAGCTAAGATCTTATCAAATTTACTTTCTAGCAATGTTTTGAATCGTTCATACCCCTGAGAAAACTTCCCTGAACCCCAGCGCTTTCTTTCTTATAGATTTACACCGATTTTCATTCAAGCTTTAATCTAGTATATTTACTCTTTCAATCGATTTTCATTCAAGCAATTAAGTTATCCGTTTTTCTCATTTTTACTCGTTTTCATTAAGTTTAGTTATTAGATCATTTTAATTCCCATAGTTTCTTTTTAGATTTCGTTTTTATGTTTTAAACACACCAAAACCCTTACAAAACTCGCCTGGTTCTAGACTTCCTTACTTTATATTTCTTTCGAAGGCTTTTGCAGGAAAGATCCTCCTTCCCTGTGGATTCGATCCCTAAGTACTACAATCGATCAGCTGTGCACTTGCGGCTATTGATTTCATTTAGGGTAAAACTTGACAACCCTCACGACACACCAACATCAAGTTTTTGGCGCCGTTGCCGGGGAAGGCACGCGTTTTCTTTTCCGCAAAACCCTAAGAAAGGTTGGTAAATCGACTCTAGAACCCCCTTTTCTGCATATTTCCATTTTTCGGTTATTTTGTTTCCATTTTAGAAGATATGGATCCTATAAATCGAAATCCACACTATGAGGAAGGTTTCTATAACACTCCTCAAGCCACCAGACATAGAGAAGAACACCAAGCCCGAGATCTTAGCTACATGGATCGATACAGCCAGCCAAACCACACATACCACCGTCGCAGAGAGCCTATTCGACGCCGGGAAGATCCTTATGGTCCACCTCCCCCCTACTTCGAGCCACACACCTATAATCCTCCACCGCAGAACCCTAATCAGCAAGAGGACAACTTGAGGATCAGCAGACGTTTGGGACGCCTCGAAGGAATGATAAACATGTTCCTTGATCAGCAGATTCTCACCGAAAACACCTTGCTCAAGAGAATTGGTTCAATCTCTGAAGAGTTCAACAGAAAATTCGATGATATGGCCAATCATGTTCGAGTTCTGGAAGAGCAAACCCACAAGGACGCTCAAACACTAGCTGGGATGATCCACCAAGTCGCAACAGATCAGACAAAATAAGGGTATGACATCATACAGAACTCAAGTGATATTGTCGAATCGAAGCAGGAGATTAAAGAAGTCAGGGAATCCGCCTCCTGGTATAGAGAGAAGACAGACGAAGAGTTGCAGGAGATCGAGCACAGGCTGAACAAACTCGAGCTCAAAGCACGGGAGATCGATGCAAGAATGGAACAGATGCCCAACATTGAGAAAGTTGAGAGATTTTCTAAGAAATCTCCCAAAAATCCTGATGAAGATGCCCAACAACGCCCTGGTATGAGTTCATATGATGCTGGTCTACCCAATAAAGAAGCTGGAGAAGTTCGTGTCAAGTACACGAAGGAAGAAACCGACTATGAGCAAGTTATATCCGGAGCCGCGGGTCCGAGCATCCTGACCGCGGCCAAGGCTCCTTTTCCCGCGGTCGCGACGCCTCTGAACGCGGGAGTTGGTTGTTCAGATCCACCTCCGGGATTTGAGAGAAAAATAATACATCTTATGTCCTAACTTCAACCTCTAGCACCTAAAAAAGCAACTCAGGGAGAAGAAAACCAAGTTTCAGATGAAGAAACAGATTGGTAGGAATCATTACCTTGTATGATGGCAAGGGAATGTGTTGAAGATTCAGCTGACTCTTCAATCCAAGAAGACCCGATATGCCGCAAGATAAAGATGCCATACACCGATTCAATCATTGAATACGACGCTGCAGCTTTCTTTTGTGAATCCTATTCTGCATTTGAAACACCAGCCAACACCTACAGAGAAAGGCAAGTTCGAATTCTCCATAAGGTCAAGACTACAAGTCAGTTTCTTATCTCTTGTTCTATTAGAGGAGAAATGTTTAAAAACGTGCTTTGTGATTCTGGAGCTTGTCTTAACATGATTTCCAAGGCAATTGCTTTGAGACTTGGTATCAAACACCTGCGCAGGACTAGAGCAAAGATTAGTTTAGCTGATGATTCCAATGCAACACCTCAAGGAATAGCTCATGAGATTCCTCTGAGAATAGGAGATTGCATAGTGCCTGTCGACTTCTACATTGTCGAGACAAGAAACGCAACATATCCAGTGATTCTCGGATGGTCTTTTCTAGCAACTTCCAGAGCTACAATGGACTGGCCAAACCGGAGGATTTCATTTGCTAATATCGACAAAGATGTCTTCACAGAAGCTGTCCCATACAACAGAAAAGCAGGAAAACGTTCTGCAACAGAAGAGTTTGAAGAAAAACTTTGGAGTGACGAAGAACCTGCTAGGCAAAGCAAGGAGATGCCGAAAAAGACTTGTCTCAGGACAAGGTCTTCTTCATTGGACTAAGCCACGTCCAACACCAAAAGTCGAGCTAAACGACTTAAAACAGAAGCGCTTAATGGGAGGCAACCCATTTAGGTATTGTTTTCTTTAGGATTTTTCTTTCTTTTTCTATTGATCTTTTTCTTTTTCTTAGTTTCAGGTGTTTCTTATAAAAAAAAAAGCCAAAAATCCTAGGTGATCAACTCCAAAGAAAAGGCTAGAGAAGCGGCGAGATTGAGAGCAGGAGGTAACGATGCGGCGATGGAATGATTATGGTGGATAGCGGATCGATCGATGGAATGATTTTGGTGGGTTGCGATCGGATAGATGATGATGATCGATGCGAAGAGAGGCGATGGTGGCGAGATGAGTATGGAAGTGATGAAATCGATTAGATGATAAGTGAAGATCTTCTTGTAAGTGTAAACTCGAAAAAACCAAAAAGAAGGATGGTCCCTGACTGCTCGGCCTGGCAAGAACCAAGGAGAAGCAGGAACAGGCCGCGACATAAGCCCCCACGGTCGCAGATGTTCTGACCGCGAGAAACACCCCTTCGACCGCGGCCTCGTCTTCCTGACCGCGGCCGAGCACCGGTTTGCCGCGGTCGTGTGGCTCCTGACCGCGGAAAATGGTCGTTGAGATCAAATCCGACCCCAAACCACCCACTTCACCTCATTCCACCTCACCAATCCCCACTCCACCTCATTCATCACTTTCCACCACCTTCATCACCACCTATCACCTTCCCAAACCTCTTCGAATGAATCCGGTTCATCTCCACCAGCATCCTGGATCCAAGTAAGTTCTCTTTGGCTTTACCAATTCGATTATCTATGCATTTTTCTCATCCAATCTCGACTTGTTTCACACTGAGGACAGTGTGATTTAAGTCTGGGGGAGGATTTCATCCCTTTCTAACTATTTTTCTTTCATGAGTCTTGCATTATCTACATTTTTTGCATTTTCCTTAATGTTTTTCAAAATTGGTTTTGAAAAAAAAATACATTTTTAAAGGGAATGGTGAACATGAATCAATGATAGTTGACTGTGTACTTTTAGACTGTTCCTAGTGACATGCTCATTCATGATTTAGGACTAGACTAGGCGGTGGCTAAGCACATTTGAAACGAAGTACCCTAGAGGAATTTGAATGATTTCGATTTCGACCAAAATAAGAAAGCTTACATACATT